GTGACTGCATGCAGGTGTGCTGGCACCCATAATATAAAGCGGATGCCCATGTGCACATGCGCCAGGGGTGGGTTCCTGCCAGTTCTAAGCTCTTCTATAGAAGAGGTTCCACAAATCTACAGTGCCGTTTAGAACCAGTTCCAGCTCCCTCCCCCTGCCCATCCGCACATCATCAAGATGAAGAGCGAGAGGAGGAATCCTGAGAATTGAAGTCCATAAGTCTTAAAGCTGTCAAGTTTGAACACCCCTGGGGTTTTTTTCTAAAGGGTTAGGAGTGCAAGGGTCTTGTAACTTGACAACTTTAAGACTTGCGTGCTTCAAATGCCAGAGTTTCTGAGCCAACATTTTGGTTGCTAAGTGCCAAGCCATTCCCACTCGGTCACATGGCTGGCAAGCCACTCCCACAAAGCAGGCCACATGTACAGAAGAAGTTCTAAAAAATTTTGAAACCCACCACTGGCATGCGCACACAACGCCCCCCCCCCAAGCTCATGTCCCACAAGTGTATGCACTGCTCGCCTCCAAGCTGAGCTTGGTATTTCCTCCAGGGGGGCTGGGGAAGGCCGCTTTCACCTTCCCCAGGCTCCAGGAAGCACTCTGGAGCATGGGGAGGGTAAAAAACGTGTCTAATGGGCCAGTGGTGGGTTCCAGATTCCGTTCCAACCGGTACGGTTGGAACAGGCCGGGCGGTGTCCACATGGATGCACTCAGTGCGTGCGCACACGCATGCAGCACGTGCAGGCATCTTAGCGCCTCCGCGACCCTCTGCGATGCTCCAGCTGCTCAGCAGAGCGTCATGCAGGTGCTGTATGCGCCATGCATGGAAGCGCTACAGACTTAAAAGACCGGTAAGGAGCTCGGGCAGGCAGGTAGGCCCTCTGGAACACCATACCAGAATGGTATCTGGTGCTCCGGGCAGGCTCCAGTACGCCCGTACCAGGGCATACTGCCTGCAACCCACCACTGCAATGGGCCAACCGGAGGTTTGGAAACGATTGTTTCCAAAGTTCTGGTAGGCCCGTTGGGCCCATTTTTCACCTGCCCGAGGCTCCGGAGGCTTTCCTAAGGCCTGAGGATGGGCAAAAACGGCCTCCCCTGCCCCTCTGGAAGCTGACGGCTTGCGTGCCACCTGTGCCACCTGTGCCACCTGTGCCATAGGTTCACCATCATGGCAATAGATCCAGCCAAGCACACACAGCCAAAATCCGCATTTTGGTGCGCTCTGGCTGAGGGAATAGGCTGTTTCGTTCTTTTTTAAAAAAAATTTGCTTATTTTATTATTTGTTTTGTTTTGCTCCTACTTCTGCCCCTTCCAAAGCCAGCCCCATAGGCCCGGGAGAATGGTGACACCAGCTTTTAAGTTTGCTTTGTGCTTTTACTTCTTCTTTTGGCAGATGAAGCCAGCCCAAACGGCCTAGGAGCCAGGCTGGGTATGCCTCATTGGCAGTGGGAGCAAGAAGATGGCAGGCGAGCTAGGATAGTAGGACTTAGTAGGACAGCAGAGGGCAAAAGGACATAGATGGTGGGAGCAAAATAGGTGGTTGAGGGAATTGTGGTCATAAGTGCGGATGGGTTACCATGTGCCCGAATTTTGATGATGTGACCATCGGGGGAGGGGATTGCAATGGCTGCAACATTACACAAGGGTTATAAATCCCTTCATTTAGCCTTCATCATAACTTCCAAATAGCTATAGAGGTAGTCCTTGTTATGATTGGTGTGTTAATGACCCTTTGAAATTACAACCTTTAAAAAAGCTATTGACAACATGTCCTTGAAATTATGATTGCCATCCTTCATACAACCCCCCCCCGAGAGAAGATTGCATTTTGGCCACTTATATTTATGACGGGTTGTGGTATTACGCCAGCAGTGTGCGGCGGCAGCCAAAAAAGCTAATACAATTGTGGGTTGTATATAAACAGAGCCATAAAATCAAAACCACGTGAAGTATCAGTACCACTTTATAAAGCCTTAGTAAGGCCACATCTGGAATACTGCATCCAGTTTTGGTCACACTACAAAAAAGATGGTTGAGACTTTGGAAAAAGTTCAGAGAAGAGCAATTAAGATGATCAAAGGCCTGGAGACTAAAACTTATGAAGAACGGTTGCAGGATTTGAGTTTGGCTGCTCTAGAGGAAAAAAAAGACTAGGGAGGACATGATAGCAGGGTTCCAGTATTGGAGGGGCTGCCACAAAGAAGAGGGGGTTAGCCTATTCTCCAAAGCAACAGAGGGGCAGGACAAGAATCAATGGATGGAAACTAACCAAGGAGAGAAGCAAATTAAGAATTAAGGAGAAACTTCCTAATGCTGAGGACAATTAATCAGTGGAACAGCTTTGCCTTCAGAAATTGTGGGGCTGGAGGCTTTTAAGAAGAGACTGGACAGCCACTTTTCTGAAATGGTATAGGGTCTCCCGCTTGAGCAGGGGGTTGGACTAGAAGACCTCCAAGGTTCCTTCCAGCTCTATTCTATTCTAATTCTAATATGACTGCAAATTGTGGGGGTTTTTTTGTACTAATTGTAAATTAGAAAGCAATAAGTGGTCTTTCTTTTTTAATGCAAAGCAGTGGATCAAGGTAAAACCCTTTCCAGATGGAAATTGATTTGTGTGCATCCCGCTTGAGATCTGCCTCAATCCTAAATCTGTCATACCTAGAGTGGAATTTCTAATTCGAGGCTAGCAATATCATATTGTCATAAGCATTTGGGAAGCTGAGTTCTTGACTTATGGCCGCAGCTGAGCCCCAAATGTATGTTGTTAAGCGAGACAGTTAAGTTCGTTTTGTCCTGTTTTACAACTTTTCTTGCCACAGTGTTTAAGGGATTCACTTAACAGGAAACTGTAGGGTTTCCTGTCTGAGCAAGGGATTGGACTACAAGACCCTTAAGGTCCTTTCCAACTCTGTTATTCTATATTCTACTAAGTTAGTAACATGGTTGTTAAGTGAATCTCCATTGACTTTGCTTGTCAGGAGATTGCAAAAGAGGATCATATGACCCTGGGAGACTGCAACCATATTTATGGCCAGTTTGGTGAGCATCCAAATTTTGATCATGTGGCCATGGAAATGCAGCAATGGTTGTAAGTGTGAAAACCAGTCATAAGTAATTTTTTAAAGTGCCATTGTCATTTCAAACCGTCATTAAATAATGGTTGTTAACTCAAGGACTACTTGTATATCTATGAAAGTCAATTACTGAAGTAGCCACAGTGATAACGAATCCAAAAGAGAATTCTGGTTCCCGTTCTTTGCCAAATTCTGATATTTATTTTGGCCTGACGTCCTTGTAACTAATCTTTTTGATGCTACCAGATTAAGCCAAACCACATAACAGACTAGAACTAATGGCTCTAAATTTCCTACAGTAAGGTATTTTTTTAGAGAATCAACAGAATCACTGGATAATATGAGATCCTCTCTATTTAACAATTACCCAAGAACCACATTAAAGAAAAAATCATGGTTTAAAATAATGATTTAAGTCTTAGTGGAACAGCAAAATCAAACATCAGTTCGCTAATATATTTCCAGTATTTTCTTGTATAATAGTCGACGTAAAACACTTTTCATCAATCATATAAATATACTTTAATGTTTTATTCGCATATCAGTACAAAGGTACTCTTATATAATAAATACCAGAGTTGTAAATAAATAAGAATGCGAGGTAGAAAAAAATGTCAAGACTAAGGATAATATATCTCAAAATCCTTAGTTGTTATTGCAAAGTCCCTTTTCCATAAATAGTGCTATGGATATAATTAACAGTTAAAATTGGTGTTTTAAAACAATCAGGTTCCTTCAATCCATGCTAATATTTAATAGGTAAACAATACTCAAATGCACACATACACAAGTAACAATATACCACTGCAAACATCCTTTTTTTTTTTTGTAATTCCCATACGTAATAACTTATCATAAAGGGTCATCAGTGGAAAATCTTTGTGTTTCATCTTTTTATGCCAAATGTTCAGTTTTTAACAAACTGAAAGCAGTGTAACAAGAGAGCTCAACATCTGCACTTTGGATACGATTATTATTTTTTACAAATTATTCTACTTAGTCCATAAGGAACATGCCCTTGGATTGCCACATCACAGGTTAACAGATAGCAAAAACTGATCTTCCTGGTTTATCAATTTAACTGTCCCATTGTAATGTTCTGATCTGGAGGAAGCTGGGCTTTTTTCCCAGATAAATATAGTAGTTATTACTCAGGATTGGATATTCATAGGAAGGCATTTGACATCCTTGACGAGTGGTGCGATGGCCTAGAGGTGCAGCACTCACAAAACAATCAGGAGGCTGTGAGTTCACGGATATTTCACAGGCAGATATTTCTCACTCTGGGCACACCGAGAATATATCTGCTGAATAAAACTCCATATTGGTGACAGGAAGGACAGCCGGCCAGTTAACACTCAGCTCCATTCAGTTACCCAGGACTCCACCCAGCAAAGGATTATGGGGTCATTAAAAGAGGACGATGATGATAACGATTTGACATCCTTGACCACTGAAAAACATATCCCACATTTCTCTGCGTTTAAGAGACATTCTCCAATAGCTGGCTATAAAAATCCCATGAGGGCTGTAATGTTTAATGGATGCCCAACCTCAGTCTGAGGATAACGAAGGACCAATTTCCTGTGATTTCAAGTAGGTTTTAGATGACCCTGAGAAGCTCCGTTGACGGTCCGTTTTGAAACAGAAATTGTGGTTGACACAGTTGGATGGTAGTAAAGGTGGGGGGAAAGAGGTTCGATTAAAAAAATGTAAGTATCAAAAGTAATGGAAACACAGCTTAAGTTCATCATAGAAATCTCTCCGTCTCTTTCCCAGCATTAAAAGTCTATCCCCGTCAGATCCACCGCTATTTTGAGGAAGAGCGTGTCATCCTTGAGGTAGCTGGGAATCTCAGCGTGGCTGGTAAATAGAGGGCTTCCACTGGCCACATTGAGTTTCTGGTGAGGCTGCTGGAAAGAGGTGCTCTGGGGATCTGGGAGGAAGGTCTCCATCAGGGGTGACTTCCTTCGTGTGGGATCCAAGAGAGAGAAGGTGACCTTCTGTCGAAAAGGCCAAGGCAGAATGTCGTCGTAAGGACCTTTGGCCAAAGCCAGGAAGAGCGAAAGGTGGCCACCTTTGCCTACACCATCTCCATCAGGGTACAGTCGGACGTAGAGGCGGTATCCGAAAGGATGGGTGGCGAACGCCGGAGAGAAGATGGAATGCCTCTTCCCACTTTTGGCATCCTTCAGGAGTTTGGAGAAATTCTCTACCTTCCAAATCAAGATTCCGTCAGTGCTGGCCAGCTCTTGCACGGAGGGTCCAAAACCTTTGGCTCCATGAGGACTATTACGTGTTTCCTGAGAATTTTTGAGCAGCTCCTCATACTGGGAACAGGAGTGTTGGAGAGTTTTCACATTGGAGACTTGTTGATTCAGCTGCCGGCGCAAAGATGCAACCATTAGCTCCAGGGCCTCCATACGCAGCTGGACAGCATCAATGTTCAGTGAAGGACCGCCCTAGAGAAGAAGATAAGATCACATCAGGGGAAAAAAACCAAAATTGGAGGCACAAAACCAAATCAGTTCTCTCTCTTCGTGCCATTGTTCTCAAAAGTGCAACTGTTTTCCTCTTGCCTCAGCTGCTTTGCTCATAGTTTCTAAATCAATAGGACCTTACAATAAAATCACCCGTTCTCTAAGCATAACCTCATGAAGTTTCTAAATTAATAAAGTAAAGGTTCCCCTCGCACATATGTGTTAGTGCTCATCTCCCTTTCAAAGCCAAAGAGCCAGCGCTGTCCGAAGATGTCTCTGTGGTCATGTGGCCGGCATGACTAAATGCCGAAGGCGCACAGAACGCTTTTACCTTCCCACCAAAGGTGGTCCCTATTTTTCTACTTGCATTTTTTTAACGTGCTAGGTTGGCAGAAGCTGGGACAAGTAACGGGAGCTCACTCCATTACGCGGAGCTAGGGATTCGAACCGCTGAACTGCCGACCTTTCTGATCGACAAGCTCAGTATCTTAGCCACCGAGCCACCACGTCCCTTACTAAATCAATAGGACCTTACAATAAAATCACCTTTTCTCTTAGCATTGCATTATGAGTGACATTTGTTCATGTTGCGCATCCATGTTTTGATTGAAAATCCTCATTTTCTCTTGAGGTTCCTCAAAGTTAATTTCTTCAGTCTTTCAGTGCTTCTTTCTACAATTGGCTGGGTTCTCTTTGGAACCTAGTGGCATCTTAAGAATATATGAAGGGCCCACAGAGGGCCAACCAGATGCATCTTTAACTAACTAAAACAAATTTGACAAGAGTTCATGGCTTGTGGCTGTGGCCTCTGGTATTGTTGCTTCCCAGCAACTGGCATTTAAGATCCCACCATGATTCAGGCCATAGACTAGAAGCTACATGACCACTGATCTGGTTCCAGCGATGTTCCATGAATTCTCATTCTCCATCAGAGGTGATATTCAGCCAGTTCAGAACAGTTCACCTGAACCAGTAGTGGAAATGGCAAATGGGCCTATCCACCCACCCTGGCTCTATGCCAGTGGTGGGTTCCTGCTGGTACAGCCCGCTACGGCCGTACTGATAGTAGTAGTTGGGGGCAGCGGCCACTGTACTGGTGCGGTGGCTCATTTGGCCCGTGTTCCGTACTTGTTTTTGAAGCAACCGAGCCAATTGTGCACGCACACACTGTGTGCGGTGCATGCGCAACCTCCAACGAGCAGCTGGGTGTCGCAGGGCTGGTGGAGTGCGCATGCATGCACAGCGCATATCCAGCGTGTGCACAAATGGACCACGAGCAGCATACCAGTAGCAACAGTAAGAACAACCCACCACTGCACTATGCCATCCTATTTAGGTACGTTTTTGAGGCCAGGCACCTGCGGTGCACATGCGAGCAAAACTCATGCGCAGAAAGTCAGGCGCATGCGCAGAAAGGGGAGCGAGCGGAGTCGCACACGGGGCAAACCAGTGTTAGCAAAATGTGAAACCCACCGCTGTTCTCCATGAATGTGCCCAATGCCTTTACAAAACCATTTAAATTAGCACGCCTTTACAAAACCATTTAAATGTAATGTTCATTTAAAACTGACCCTTGAACAATGCATTGGGAAAGAATTAGGCTTTCCAAGTTTATTCAGTAACTTACCATAATAGGGGCAGTGACGCTCCAGTGTGCTTCTTTCTCTTTATTCTCATTTTGGTCTTCAGGAATCAAAGTGGCATTTTTTGTAGTTCCGATAGGAGCCTCGGGGTGGCATAAATGCTCCTAAAATTAAAAATCAGGACGGCATGGTTCAAACTAGGAGTCAGGGGTTTTTGACACCTGATCAGGACTCTGAGTCATAAACCAGACTGAGAAGTTCTAAAACCTTCCAAGTTCATGTAAGACACATTTTAAGGTTTTTAACTCACGTGGCATTCATCTGACAAAGATTCTAGGGAATTGTACATTAGTAGCCAGATAATTGTACATTAATTGTACTTTAGTAGCCAAATAAGCTACTAATAAGCTAATGCCTTCATAACAACAATACATCAGTTTGTATCTAGGATACACTTTTCCCGGTCTTTCTTTCCAGAATTATCAAATGGCTCTAGCCCTTTCTTCAAGGAAAATATATGATATTTTTTTT